AATTTATTATATTAAAAATTTATAAAATATAATAAATTATAATTTATTATATTAAAATTATATCAAAAATTTATATAAATTTATAAACTGCTTGGGAGCTCAGTTGTAGCACAGAGTGTGGTACAGTGTGGGGTAAGCATATGTAGTCACCTGATAGTCCTGGATGCAGGCTCACTGGTTTTGTCATACCTCTAAAGACTGGGCATTCCCAGACGGTACTTTGTCCGTCTTTGTCTAGGCAAGAGGCCTTTTCCAGCCAGTGGACTTTGTGCCTTGTAGTGGGGGTGAGTGCTGTGGATTGACTGATAGTGTGGCAAGTCTGCCACTGTCACAGTTGGATTCTGCAGGCAGGGTGAGCCTGATGCCATTAAGCATTCAGTCATCTCACCTGTCTTGATCTGCCCATGTGCTCACTGGGCCATATCCCAACAATGCTTGTGTGTTGTAGATGGACCTGCCTGCACCAAGAGTGGGTGCTGTGGCCCCTGGCATGGTAGTTTCTTGGCATTGTGGTCTGCAGATCAACCTTCTAAGTGTGGGTAATGTGCATCTGCCTGGGAAGATGGATCTGTCTTCTGGGTGTGGTCAGTGGCTTCTCACTGGAAGGCTGAGGGCCAGATCTGGACTGTGGTAAATCTACTTTTTTGAGTCCTCTCTAAAAAGTTAGCCCAACAATGTTTCCCCTGGGTAATAGCCTGACAGTGTTAAAAGGTTGACAGGATGTGGTAAATTTCACTAGATGTTGTCTATTTTTTCTAATTCAGAGTTTTCAAAGACATTTATAGCTAATAATCATAGATTTTGTACTTAGGCATCCTGTTTTTCAAAGCTGATAGTTGGGTGATCTGGATTGGAGTTACCACTAATTTTTGGATTGGGACTGGAATTCTGTGGTAGTTTAGGGTCATTTGAAGTCCTGGAAATTGAGCATGAAGGTAGGGAGAGAAGGAATACAGTAATTTGAGATAGGAAATGGCCTGGCCATCAGCAGGAGAAGAGACCAGGCTGGGTGATTACGGCTGCTGGTAAACGTTGTTCACTACTTGCAGCAGATGTTTTGGTAAGTAGAAGTGTTGACCCTAAAGGATGCTTCAGAAGTGGAGCTGGCACGCTGACAGGCTTCCCCAAACCCAGTGGGCCTTGGCACCACCTTACCCCTGCCATCTGGTTCTCTTCACTTGATGGTTTACAGTTAATGCAGAGAAAGCTACATTGGTTGCAGTGATAACACAAACTGCCTTATAGTAGCTTGGGAGTGGGTGGGATAGAGATAGAGAAAGCATTGTTGCTGTAGATTCAGGGCTTCAGTGACATGGTCAAATATGTCATCCGTAATGGGCAACACTTAGGTTTTTGTCTGTATTGAGTTGTGACAAGTTTGTTTACTATGCTTAGTATTAACTATGAGAAGTACAATGAGAACGGATGAGCAGCCTTGCTCCTCCTGTCCTGGGCAGAGAGAGGAGGGAACAACATGTGGTCCTTTGGGGCTATTGAATAGGTTTCCATTCATAGCAACCCTGTGTGCAAGACAACGAAACACTGCCCCATCCTGCACCATCCTTACAGTCATTGCCAAGCTTGAGCCCACTGTTGTAGCCGCTGTGTCAGTCCATCTCATTAGGGTCTTTGCCTTTTTCACTGACCTCTACTTTCCCAGTCATGACATCCTTCTCCAGGACTGGTCCCTTCTGACAGCACGATCAAAGTATGAGAGATGAAGTCTGGCCATTCTCACTTCTCAGGAGCATTCTGGCTGCACTTCCAGACAGATTGTTCATTATTCTGGCAGGGCATGGTACATTCCATGTTCTTTGCCAACATCACAATGCATATAATTTAATGGGTCTTCCCTCCCAACACTGCAGGAGGGGTTGTTTTTATGTCTTGGTTGTGGTGTCATCCTGTTGGATACCCGTGATGTGAGCCGACACAGTTCTTCAAAACTGAACACTGTACTTGTCTTCAGTTGGCATGGCAATCCAGTTTCTCAGAGAGCCAGTGGGGGTAATTAATGGAAGGAGAGGTAAAAACCCCCTCAAGGCCATAGTTTTAAAATTAATTACTATACTTTTGGTAGAGCTAGCTACTTGTGGCTTTATATTTATAGTTAGGTTTTTCACTATAAGCTGCCACAATGCTGTTTGGAAGTAGACAGTAATTTTTTTTTTTTTTTTCAATCTGCCCTCTCCAAATATATGGCCATAATATCTGTGTTCATCTTGGGAGATTTAACTATGATAAAACATTAACGGGTAAGGTTAAAATGCCTGAAATTCAGTTAATAATTGTTTTTCTTTTTTCCCCAACAGCTTTATTGAGGTGTAATTTGCATAACATAAAATTCCCTTGTTTGGTGATTATTAGTAAATCAACAGTCATATCTTATTTTCATCACACTCAGAACAAGCCAGTTCCCACCCAAGCCCCTGGCAGCCATTAATGTACCCCCTGTACCTGCAGATTGCCTTTTCTGGGCACTTCGTAGAAATGGGTTGTGTGTACGTGTGGTCTTTGTGGCTGCCTCTTGAGCTGTACGTGTTTCCAGGTTTACTCATGCTGTGGTACATGGTAGTCCTTTGCTCCTTTTTACTGGTGAGGAGTATTCTGTTGTATGGATACATACCCTGTTTTGTGTATCTGTCTGGTGAAAGACATTTGGCTTTTCTCTACCTTTGGCTATTATAATGTTGGTGTGAACATCCATGTCCAGGTATCTTTGGAAAGATAGATTTTTGTTCTTATTTGGTAGCTAGCTAAGAGTGGCATTTTTGGCTCATATGCTGAATGGAACATGTTAAGAAGCTGCCGCTCTGGACTGGACAGGGTCTTTTTGATCGTGGTTGTTCTCATATGTGTGAGGTACTTCCCTTGTGGTTTTCATGTGCGTTTCCCTAGTAACTAATGATGTGGAGCAGCTTTCGTTTTGCTCATTGGCCATTTGAATATCTTCTTTGGTGAAATGTCTCTTCAAATCTTTGGCTTATTTTTAAATAGGTTGTCTTATTATTGAATTGTAGGTGTTTTTTTTCTATATTTTGGATATAAGTTCCTCACTGTATATATGATTTACAAGTATTCTGGTCTGTGGTTCATATTTTCACTTTCAGCTGTGTCTTAGAAGCACAAAAGTTTTTACTTTTGATGAAGTCTAATTTATCTTTCTTTTTTTCTTTTATGGCTCGTACTTTGGCTTTGTTTACCTAGCCCAAGATCATGAAGATTGACTTCATTGTTTTTTTTTCTAAGACTTATGATTTAGGGCTGTGGTTCGTTTGAACTGACTTTTGTTAATGATGTGCGGTAAAGGCACCTATCTGTTGAAAAGAATATTTTTCCCCACTCATTTGCCTTGGCACTTTTTTGAAAATTAGTTGACCGTAAAGGTCAAAAGTATGTTTCTGTACTCAAGAGCTCTGTCCCATTGATTGGCTGTCTGTCCTTGTGACAGTGCCACACTGTGCTGGTGATTGTGGTTTTGTACTGAGTTTTGAAATCAGGAAATGTAAGTTTCCAACTTTGTTCTTTTTCAAGATTGTTTCAGCTGTTCTGGGATTTTTGGATTTCCATTTAAATTTGAAGATCCAGCTTGTCAGTTTCTACAGAAAATTGGCCTGGGTTTTGTTAGGGATTCCATTGAATCTGTAGATTCAGCAGTCTTGAGTCCATGAACATAGAGTTGAGTTTGAATGTTAACCCAAACGTGTATGCTTGAGATAAGTCCCTCTTACTCACTTGACTGCAAACCAGAAGGCTGGCGGTTCAAACCCACCAGCCACTCCTCGGAAGGAAGTGATGCTGCCTCAGAAACCCAAAGAGGGGTTGCTATGAGTCGGGTCCGACTCGATGGCGTATAACAGCAACAACAACTCATGGTGTATAATCCTTTTTATTTATTGCTAGATGTGGTTTGCTTGTCTGTTCTCAGCCAGATGGCTTCAGAGTTTAGGTTTTGGTTTGCTGGGGGTGATTTTGTGAACATGTTTATTTAGAGGAACGTTTTGTTCAGTAGTCTTCTTGAGGAGAGTGCGAGCATCATTTAGGTTCTGGCCGACGTGGCTTTCTCCCTCATAAAATGACTCAGTAGCCACTAAGAACTTTCTGACTGCAGGCATCTTTCAGTATGTGAACAGATTTTCATGTTCAATGAGATTTTTCAGTGGAACTTTTCAAATCAGTATGTTCCATTATTGGTACTAAAATGTTAAGATACTTCAAAGAGCTGAATCCATATTTTTTAAAACATTTGACATTGTGATAAACCCATGGTTAACTGGATATAAAAAATATTCTTGGAAGTAAAAAACGAGATGTTAAAGTAAAGATAGGGCTGGGTGTCTCTTCACCTCAGAGGTCTTGCCTTGCTTGGCTTGTACAACAGTGAGCTGCTGTGCAAAATCATCTGTGGTTTTGGTTAACTTTACACATAGTATAAAGAAAAAGAACTTACAGGCTGAAGGCTAGCAGTGTGTTAGATAGGAAGAAGAAATTCTTTTTGTAGTTGCAGTGATTTTTTCTTTCATTTTTTGCTTGGATTATCAGATGTCATTAGATTCGGTGCTTTATTTATGGGAGGACATCTCAGGGAAGTGCTTTAGATAATCTGATGAGCATGCGGGCAGCTCCTGCCTGCCAACGGTGCCCAGACTGGACGCTGAGCGTGAGATGGACTGCTTTGGCCTGTGTCTGCCGTCTCAGATGCCTGGTTGGTCTTTTTTGAGTGTGTAAACCCTTTGTGCACAATAGAAATGCACTGTTTGCATTGTCATCCTGTGAATGAAAATTGGGGGAGGAGGCGAGTCTAGTTCTGACCAAAGATATGCAAAGAGATGTCTGCTAGCAGAATGGAGGCGTTTTTTAATTTGAAAAAAATATTGCAAGCCAGATAAAATTGATAAAATTCTCTTTACACGTACTGCTTGGAGATTATTAACTAACTGTCTGGAACACGAAATACACTGTTTATGATCGGCTGTTCTTTTATTCTCTTGCTTTGTTAGGTTTTACACACGCTGGAAAGATTGGGAGTCCTGGTACTCACAGAGCTTTGGTTTACATTTTTCTTTGAGGGAAGAGCAGTGGCAAGAAGACTGGGCATTCATACTCTCTCTCGCTAGTCAGGTAAGAACAGGTCAAGGCACATGGCCTGTGGGAGAACACTTAGCCACGTAATCAAAATCCCTTGTTTCTACGAGCAACCCCGTTGGAGGGAGTAGGGTACAAGACACTTGACTTGGCTCTGGGTGACTTGGCTTCCAGGTGTGATGGGCTGCTGTTGCTCTGCTGTGCCTGTCGCGAGGCCTCACTCTAGCACAGGGAGGGGCAGTCCTAGGTGTTTCCTGTGCCAGGTGTTAAGGAAGGAAATCCTGCCAGAATGAGCATGGTCTTGCCACCATGGTGAGCAGCCTCCAGGGTGCCCTGCATTACGGGTGCTGGCAGGAAGGTGGCCTTTTTCTCTTGCACCTGCTTCAGGGGTTGGCTCCTGGTCTGTGCCTGCCGTGGGCAGATGGCGGACACTGAGCCAGAAGCACCTTCCCGTTGCTGCTGTTCTTCACCAGGCCTCTGTGGAGGCTGCGTCCACTGTGGCCCAGGCACTCAGGGACAAGTGACTGTTGGCAGGAGGGGTTACTCATGAACCTGGCACTGAGCTTCGCTGAGGGAGTCTTCCATACGTGAAGCCTTCCTGGAACATAGGAGCGTGTCCCATTGGCCGCATTAGACTCCCGGTTTCATCCTTCTTTGATTTTGTGAAATACATTCAATATATGAAACTTCAGAGTCCAGACCTGTATGTAACAAATGACTCCTTTGCTTTGCAGAACGCTCAATAGTTGGTTTGAACCTGAGAAGGAGGGAGAGGCTCGTCCTGTACCCATGACTGTCCCGTTGGCCATTTGGGCAGGGTTCACAGTGGCTGTTTCACATCTGAGACATACCCCTCGTGGTCCCCATGTGTCATGAGCCTTGGGTGGTGGTTGTGTTCTGGGGTTCAGGGACACGGTTGTTGAGGCATGTACAAGCGCATCTCTTTACTCTGAGGGACCTTTAGTGTAGGCAGTGCTAACTTTCATAGGTGATGTAGCTGGGAGGTGATTGGACAGAGTATCCTTTTGGTTCCTGAGGTCAGTAGTGAGATTAAATGGGGCGTGAGTAATCTCCAAATGCTTGTCCACTGTGTTGAATTCTTGAGCAGGGGTAGTAGTGCAAGGCACACGCACATAGACTTCATGGAGTTGTATCACAGTTCCCTTTTGTTGGACAAGACAAAGGCATCCTTTAAGTTGACACTTACTTTTGTTTTTAAGAACAGATTGAGATGGTTTGCAGGGATGGTAATAAGCATTTTAAAGACAAACTGCTTTTTCTTGTGTTCTGTGCAGCCTGGAGCAAGTTTGGAACAAACACACATTTTTGTACTTGCACATATTCTTCGACGACCAATTATAGTTTATGGAGTAAAATATTATAAGAGTTTCCGGGGTGAAACCTTAGGATACACCCGGTTTCAAGGTAAGCCATTATATGAGGGTCTTTGAGGTCTGGTCTACTGTGAAAATGTGGTTTGGAGCCATATCCTGAAGTGACAACCAGAGAGAGGGGTCTGAGGGGTGGAACTGGGCATGTGGCAAGGGCAGCCTGCTCTTCCCCTCATCACCTCCCTTCTCTCTTCAGGTGTTTATTTGCCTCTGTTGTGGGAACAGAGTTTTTGTTGGAAAAGTCCGATTGCTCTGGGCTACACAAGGGGCCACTTCTCTGCTTTGGTTGCCATGGAAAATGATGGCTATGGTAACCGAGGTGCTGGTGCTAACCTGAACACAGATGATGATGTCACCATCACGTTTCTGCCTCTGGTTGACAGTGAGAGGAAGTTACTCCATGTGCACTTCCTTTCTGCTCAGGAGGTAAGAAGTGTGTTCCTGCTAGGCACTACTGGGTCTCGTAGCAAGGAAGTCTGCCTCTCAGCTGGGGTGGTCTGTACTGTCAGACCCTTTTTTAGATGGGGTTGTAGTAATTGCCATTTGGGGTAAACACTGGTCGCATGGCCATGCCATTTCTGCCATGTATGGGAGTGGGGCAGTGGACAAGGTCTCAGAGCCCTGCCTCTGCCCTCAGCAGTGAGTGGGTGAGGGGAAAGATAACAAAGCCCAGGGCAAGGGTTCCAGCAAGGTCCTAGAGGCCCTGCAAGGGAGAGAGCTTTGCAGTCTCCAGAAGGGGGCACGGGAAGTGCAGGGGACTGCACAGCAGTGAGTCACAGGGAGTGGGTGGGGGCAGGGCAGGAGGCAGGACCAGAGGAGGCAGACGGTGCATTGAGGCCTGGGCAAAGCTGTGTGACTTTCCCTCTGATCACCAGCTGCTTGGTGTTCGGATTCACTGCCTGGAGCAGGAACAACAGAAACCATTGTAGATGCACGGAAATGAGAGGGTGGTGTCGACAGGGTAGGGGAGGCAGTCAGTCAGCGTGTACAAAAAAAATTTAGAAAACCTATGTTCATAGCCAATTCTTGGTCTTTTATTTAATATACTAATAATTATAAAACTTTTATAAGCATGATACTGGGGGTGAGTGGAGAGAAACCATTGACCATAATTTGCATAGCTTCAGCCTGTACACAGTCCACAGCAAACTTACCTAGTCCTTGGTCCCTTTGCCAGGGAGCCGTGTATTAGGATTTGCTTTTTGCCATCATAACCAGTGTCCTCAAGAATCCAGGGTGTGCTTCCCTCTGATGTCTTTTCTCGTCATGAGGTCGGCGAGGTCAGACCTGCCAGGGAATCTGTTTTGACCTTTTCATTTGCTGTCAGGCTGCCCGTAGTTTTCCGTTTTTCCTCTCAAGCAAGCCTCTGGCCTGTCTTAAGTACTTTCTCTCTTTGTGCCCTCTCCCCTGACAGCTAGGTAACGAGGAGCAGCGTGAGAGGCTGCTGAGGCAGTGGCTGGACTGCTGTGTGACCGAGGGAGGGGTTCTTGTCGCTATGCAGAAAAGCTCTCGGCGGCGCAATCACCCATTGGTCACACAAATGGTAGAAAAATGGCTTGACCGCTACCGTCAGATCCGGCCTTGCACATCCCTGTCTGACGGAGAGGAAGATGAAGATGATGAAGATGAATGAAGACGTCAAAGAGCAGAAGGCATGGGATCTGTGACCCCCTGAAATGAAGGTGGTGCTCCAGGCAGGACGATAGGGAACGGCACGAGCCAAGCCTGGCCGGATCGGCTCCGAAGGGTTTTCCCAATCCACATGCAGTGGGGACAGTGTCTCTGCCGTGTGAGGAGACAGAACTGGGTTGGACTGTAGTTTGTTTTTTTTAAAAAAAAAAAAAACCCAACAAAAAAACAAACTAATTTTATTAAGACAGAACTTTTTTCCCTTTGAAATTGTAAATCTGTCTATAAATGTAACGCATGTGGCTGTGTAAGAAGTTGTGTAATAGGAAAAGTTGTACCAACATCTTCGTCTCACTGAGATGTTTTCCAGCGTGGGCACTTACAGGAAGCACATGGCAGATGACGCTTTGTTCCTGAGACTCTTCGGTCCAAGCAGGCATTCCCTTCACCTTCAAGATCCATTTGACATATGAAGTATCCCAAGAGCTCCTTGGAGACTTGAAATGTTTTTGTACACATTATCCACAGTAAAGCATAAAAATAAACAAGGTTTTATTTAGTTCCTGTGTTACCCAATCATATCAAATCTTTAAGGAACAAACTACAAGAAAAGCTGGGAATTTTTTATAGTGTGACCTTCAGCATCATTGTTCCTTTGTTTTTCACAGATTTTGTTTATTGCTGTGTCATCTTTATAAGTTTCCCCTTTTCAGTATTTAGGTATTTATTTGTTTGGAAGTGACCTAAAGTGAGGGTGCTCATTTCAGACGCTTGGCTGAGACCTGGATGTGACTCAAGGAAACACTTGAATAGGTCCACTTGTCACTAAATGAATTGTGTGCAATTTCCTCACGTGGACTTGATTGAGATGTTATACTTCCAGACCTCCACGGCAGAGGGTCTTCGGATGCCGAATGCCTTTTATCTTCAGCTCTGCTCTCAACACATCCTGTTAGGAGGAGGGTATGCCTTCTTTGCATAGGCTAACGGGAATGCCAGTTCCGTACAGAATAAAGATTGAAAAATGCAATAAGGTGGTTTACATGCATTGTATAATGGGTTTTCAGCTTGTACTTTGAGGGCTTTGCATGTTGGTTAATTGTGGCCATTCTTATTTAAGGTCAAAACTATAATCTTACATAGTGAACTTTTTATAGAAAGTATTATTTGACCACTTCAGGTATATATCCTGTACTGGGTAAAAACTTCACAACTATCTCAGGAACACAGGCAGACTTCGTGTCCTGATAAGTACTTTATAGACTTGATGTGGCAAGGAGTTTGGAAAGATGCCATATGTAAAAGATATGTATAGAGAGTGATGTATGATTTTTCCTTCCCTTTAATGGAAAGGCTGTGGAAACCTCTACACACTGAATTCTTGTTCTCTAAATTCTTAGGTGGTACTTCATTTGATGCTGGAATCATAAAAATGGGAAAACTTCATTTCTTCAGTTCATTCTCCCATCTGAACACTCAGTAGAACGTGGAAAGGCTCATGTTGCTGCTGCTGAAACTTAGGAGAAAGGCCTTTTGTTGTATGATTCCATACAGATGAACGTTCCTGTGTTTAATGATGCTGAATGTTACCTTCAGGGGTTTCTTTACACATTGATTCTGTATGACCTCTTTAGTTTTGGCCAGTAGTAAGCAATCCAGCTCTTAGGAGACGGGCATCTGTAGTAACTTCCCTCAATGTAAGACTAACTCATCAGTGGGCAGTGACCCTGTTCTAGCTAGTTGCCTGTTAACCCAGACCCTGCCCTCCTAGTTGACACTGCTGAAGAGCAGTATTTGAGGGAGAATCATCTTGTCATTGTTTTGACTTTGGCTGATGCCGCCCAGAAGCTGGCCTGCTGTGTCCTTTCCCAAGCTGCTGCTTACCTTATTTATGCTCGGTGACTCTGACCACATATAGTTTGACAGGTACCATGTTCTTCCCTGTGGGAAAGAATTATAAACGACATCCTTTCCTAGGCTCCAGACTCCCATTGGCGAGGATGGGGCTTTTAAATGGTTTTCCCAGCAGATGGGTTGTTAAAGGCCAAACATTTGAATAAATCATTGTTTCTGTCAAGCTCTTGGGTTATTAAAACAGTCGTAGTTGCCGTCCCAAGATGATGATCTGTGGTTGGGCAGCTCATGACAGTAATGCCTGGTAAAGACTCAGCCCCATGGATACCCGTTGTAGGGAGGTGATGGTGATGCTGTGTGTCCTGACTTCCTTCTCCTGAGAGTCAGTTCATACATAGAATCATTCCCCAAGGACGGTTTGGGCACCAGATTTCACGGATCTAAACCCAGGTGGCAGCACTGAGGTGGTTTTCCCCCCTGGTGCCTTGTGTGCCAGCTCTCTAGGTGGGCAGACAACACTGCTCCTCCTAGGATCTTGGCGTCTCTTCCCAGGCATTTCTGCCCCTCATTGTCATCTGTTTGACAAGTGTTTGAGCTGACAGGGCAGTGACTATGAGTGCCATCTTCCCGTGGAGTGGGATTCATACAAGTCCTCCTCGCAGGACAGTGGGGGAGCACCTTCAAATGAACGGACACAAGGCCCGTCAGAGGTTGCCATTTAAGAGGTGTGCGTGTACGCCTGTGTGTGTGTGCGCGCGTGTGTGGTTTCCCATCAAACAGAAGGTGAGGAAGAGCTGAGATGCAGTTTGGAATTACTGACTGTGATAAGACACTTGAGGCCACCACTGGTTAGGTTGGTTAATGCTAAACTAAGTTCTTAATCTATGGAAATGGCTGATGTTAATTATTTTTGAACATTTCTTACTGTAAGTAGAATTCTTAGGTTATCCCCTCCCCACCTTTGAGATTCACCTCCTTCCTTTCCTGAGTTAATAATGCTTGAGCAGGTAATCTTGCTTTTGGATAAATTAAAATCAAAACTCTAAAACTTGACCAACTTTGTTTCTTGACTTGAGTTGATTCTGACCCACTCTCTCATCTTAAGGATGGCATGGCTTGGTAACGACTTAATGGATGGACTTAAGAGTTTGATTTAAACTTGATCACGAGAGTCCATACTCTCAAGTCTGGTTATGGAACAGGCAGATGGAAAATGAAGTTAGTTAGTATTTGAAGTAATGCAGATTGGAAGTTTGCCTGTTAACATCTCAGTTACAAAGCTTTGCTATTGGTGAGATGTGTTGGAATTTCAGAACAAATTTTTATTACTTTTTATTGAAAACTGCACTGAACGCTAAATGTCCACCTTTACAATAAACAAATACAGTAACAGGAACTCACACTAAAACAAAAACATACTTCCGATAGCCATTAGTTTTCTGTTCGGGACAGTTTTAAAGGTTTTTTTTTTTTTGTCACAAAAACAGGAATGTACCTATACAAAGGCTCAAAATAGGCCATCTTTTCAAACAAAAAGCGATGATTCACAAAAGACTATGAATATAACATGTAACTAGTTGATACAAATCTAATAGGATTTGTTAAAATCAGTCACATCTAATAACACATCTGAAGTGTTCTCGTATAAAATATCACGTGAAGAAAAGAAGACTTCATCAATGTCTAAAAAAGTGGGTTTGTTCATAGACAATCTGACAATTACCATAAAAAGTGTTTCCTGAGACATAAGGAAATGCAACGTTATTCTTCTTGAACCTTCGGCTCAAGACTCTCCACTCAATAAAATAGCTGAGGATCTGAAACTGAGAAAATATATTTGAGTACAAACAGCTTGTGAAACTTAATACTCTCTTTTTTTTTTTTTTTTTTGCATCATCAGAGGGTGTCACTGAACTCACAGCCAACTTGCCCGCTCAGTTTCCAGTTCAGTGTGAGGAACCCTTCTGACGGGGGCCTGTACTGTCGTCCATCCTCGGCTGGCAGTTGTCTAACAGGCAAACAGTTTTCTCCCCGCTTTGTCGTAATGTAATCTTCCTATCAGCAAGAGGCTACCAGCCCCCGTGGACCGAAGGGACCAGAGTCAGAACGGGGATTTCCTCTTTACATACTTTATTTCGGTGTTTGCAACTCTTGACGCAACGTTCTAGAGCAGGATGCTCTGGGCCAGCTGTGCCCAAGGGACTGAAAGGAAAAAGATCTATTTATTCTTTGTGATTTGATGCACAGATGAGAAACTTAACACACAGTAACAGAAGTTGGTCGTTAATAAGTCACGCCTTAGCCTCTCGGCTTCCGCAGCAGACGGCCCCTTTGGGTTTCTGCATCTTGGCTTCTAGCGCTTCTGCAGTTTCAAAACCGCAATAGCAACGATGCATCGTGTCCACAGTCGGTCCAGAAGACTGTCCCTCTCCTCGGAGTCCTCCACGTTCATCTCTCTTGGTCCCAGGGTGATGTGAACATTACCTGTGGCTGTCCTCTGCTATTGCTCGTTGGGGTGCTCCCGATTGTCCCCATGTTTTGTGGGCTGGTTGGGAGAGGGGGCTTGGGAAGGGTGTGCCACTGTGGGGAGGTTGTGAGTGACAGGGATGCCTCCGGGGATGATGCCTTCCATGGCTGCAGGCAGGCCTCCCGGAGTCACACCGACGATGCCTGGCGGGTACCTGCCAAGCACAAAACACGCCAATCAAGCACTGACCCTTCCTGGTTCGCTAAGGATTTTTTATGAAAATTCTGTTACCCTTCCTACCTCCAGCAGGGGGCAAAAATCTAGATTTTTATATGAAATGTTGGTACCTCACTAAGAAAACAAAAACCAAAACGGCATCCAGGTGCAATCCTGGGCCACTGATGTTATAGTAGCATTTAGTGACCAGATAAGAGTAGACAAAACAACAGGAAGATACAAAGCCTGAAATAATCGTGAACGTGTCTGGACATTTACTGAGGGTTTGGAAACTACATTTGTGAAAAAACAAAGTGTGTTATGTACACTGGCTGATCCCATGCCGTAATGCAGGCACACCTCTTTTTACCCTGCTTCACAGATAACTGCGTTTTCTTCTGCTTTTAAAGAACAAATTGAAGGTTTATGGCAACTCTGCACCATGGAAGTCTACTGGTGCCATTTTTCCAAGTTGTGCCCACTTGTGCGTCATATTTTGGTCAGACTCCTTCATAATGCTGTTGGAAGCCTGACAGACTAGTAACTAATGCAGCATTAACATAACTCATGTGCCTTGGGAAACCAAGAATGCCCCCCTGACTCGCTTGATTGTGGTAGGCTGGAACTGAACCCTCTATGTCTCCAAGGTGTGCCTGAACTGAACGTGGCTTCCTAGGTCAGTCACGTGCTCCCAGGGCCTGCAGATGTGCAAGTGTGTTGATCTGTCCAGTCCCTCCTGGGCCAGTGCTTCCACACGGGCAATTTTATATTCTAAGGACACAACAGGATGAGAGGTTCTGTGTGTAAGAGCCACCTTCAGAACATACTGTTCTTGGGCACAAATAAGACTCAGCATATTCACATGTATTTTAGGAGGTGATCCCTGGTTGGTGCGGTAGAGTTTGATTCACCCATCAAGCCTCCATGACTGAGAAGCATGGATCACGGGTTGCTGTGCCCCACCCACCATCCCCCTGGTCCCAAAAATGCCAAGACCACTCCAGGAGCCATCTGATGGATTTGAACACATCTGGGAGTCAGGGAAATGAAGTAGCCCTTACAGGGTGGGCTGCCCACCTTCTCAGGGGAATGGTGCTGCAGTGGGCTCAAGTAAAGATACTTGGAATAGGAAGTGTGGAGAGGGAGGCTTTCATGACCTGTGCCGCACAGATGTGAAATGAAGCTGTGTAATACAGATAACGCCTTTAGGGGTGCTGTGGTGGCACGGGGGTTAAAGTGCTCGGCAGAGAACAGAAAGATTGGGGGGGGGGTCAAGCCTACCAGCTAGTCTCAGAGAAAGTTGTGACAGTCTGGTTCCATAAGGAATACGTCCTTGGAAACGCCATGGGGGCAGTTCTCTGTGCTACATGGTTCCTAATGAGGCAGAATCGACTGGAAGCCAATGTTATGTTTTCCTTATTAACAAAGTGTACACCTTGCTTCTCTCTATTGTTAGAGCAAGGGTTCTCAGCAGGGGCCATCTGGCAATGGCTGGAGACATTTTATGGCTGTCACCGTTGGTATGAGAGGAGCGACTGGAAGCCAGTGGGTGGAGGGCGTGGATGGTGTTAAACGTGCTCCAGTGCACAGTTCACTCCCAATGCAAGTAGTGCTGAGCTTACAGAACCCTGGGTGACAGGATCCTAATGTGTCCTCCCTTCTTGTGTCCCAGGCTGCCTCACGCTCCCGTATGTGTGGAGGGTAGACTGGGGGTGGGAGGGTAGCCATGGGACAAACTCCTTCTCGGGGTCCTGCCCTTGTCCACTCGCCCCGGTTCCTCATCCATGGGAACATTACTGCTTTGGGCCCACTGTTCACCTAAAATAGTGGATCGCACCATTATGTGTGAAAAGGCTTTCCTTGGAGGGAAGGTTCAAATTGGAAAATAAAGTCAGAAGGTCTTTCCTTGATCTCACGTGTGCCTTTTGTGCCTAGAGAATGTCTGGTGTGAACGCTGCTTTGGGATGAATGGCAGCTCTGGGACTTCGAGGTCACTCCTGTGTGGTTCTGCATCCCTGCCCTCTACCCACCTTTCACGGTGGGGACTTTTTGCTTTCATTTGGTAGCTCCAGTTCCAGGCTATACCCTAAAGAGACTGGGCACGGGCCACCCCGAGACCACCAGGGTAGACGGGCACCCCTCGCCAGCAGGTCCAGTTCCCCTGCTCACCTGTACGTGGCGCCGTTGAGCTCCGGGTGAATAGCTTGCTGATCTATTACTGACCAAGGAGCTGTTGTGACAAAGAATTCCTTGTTCACACAGTTTCTTAGGCTTTCTGGGATGCGACCTACAGTGAGATCATTAAAGTCAATCATTTTTCAAGGGTCAGAATGACTCAACTGTTATCTAAAAGGAAAGGTTTGTATCCATAGAGAGGTCTGATACAATGTGAACATCCACATGCACTCGGCCAGAGCCAAAAGGAACTTCCCTCCTGGCTCCCTTGGGGCAGCCGCCCTACAGAACTCAAGGCACTTACAGTTGAAAGGGACCTGGTTTCCTCTTGGACGTTACTTCCGCGCTTACACAGGGCCCAACTCATACAAAACTGAATTGACCCCTACAAGCTAATTGCACCTGGAGCCACCCTTGAGTGTGAATAGGCCCTACTGGCTTAGCGGTGGCTCCAGCACAGGCCTTGGGGAGGCTCACCTGTGATCGCTCGGCGGATCTCGGTAGCTGCGGCCTCCCTCATCTCCAGCGAGGCTTGCTCACTGTACCAGGCCGTGTGGGGCGTGCAGATGAGGTTCGGCGCATCTTTCAACGGGCCTTGAGCAAAGCTAGGAAGCACAGAGAGAGCCCGTGAGGACCACACACCATGTGCCCTACCTGCGTGGCTAGGACGTGAACTGCGCAGGTCAGAGGCCACTTCCCATGCTTTGTAGGGAACAGTGTCAAGAATGATGAGAAAGAAACAAGTCTGCCGATGACCCGTCCTTCCACCAAGCAGCACACACGTTGCCGTCTGTCTATGGAGACCACAGCCACCTCAGCACCTTCCTGTTACCCACCTCACTAACCTTTTGGGACCTGAGAAGGCCTGAGCTGTAGGTGCTCTAGGAGCGTCCCACCCAGCACCAGGGCATCTGGGAATGCATGTGTGGGTTGGGTGTCAGCTGGGCCCTGCAGTCTCCTGTCTAGGCTGTAAGCACTGTGCGCCCCATGACGCCCACCTGAACGGCTCAGACTCATGCACGTCAAGGGCTGCTCCTCGTATCCTGCCTTCCTTGAGGGCTTGGGCTAAGGCTTTCTCGTCCACCAGCCCACCGCGGGCTGCGTTCACCAGGAACGCTCCTTGCCTCATCTACAGGAGAAAGAAAAGCCAGGTAAATGGATAAGTACTTCATTAGCAGGCTCTCGGGCTGAGGCTTCACCAAGAATGCCATGGACAAGGTGTATAGCTTGCTGTGTGTGTGGGTGGCAGTTGGAAGGGAGAGGGAAGTCACACTGCCCAGCCTGGGAGTTGGACACAAGGTACGCAGGTTGGGAACTGTGACTGTCACCTGCCTGCTGGCTGTCCTCCTCTGTATGTTCACAGGTGGGTCACAAAGCCCTGCTCATCCCCACCTGGACTCAGCGGTACAGTCACCTCTCATTGGAACCTTGCTGGGCCTGAGCTTCCAATTTACCTGCTTGATAGTAAAGTCATTGATGAGGTGGTGGTTATGTTCATTGAGATTACAGTGCAGGGACACGCAGTCGCTCTGGTACAGCAGGTCCTGCAGCGTGTAGATCCTCTGCACGCCCAGGGACCGCTCGATGCCATCCTGCAAGTAGGGGTCATAAAACATGACGCTGAATCCGAAGGCCTTGGCTCGAACAGCGACAGCCTGCCCCGTGCGACCTGTGTGGAGACAGAGGGTCAGGGTGAGAGTCACACCTCTCACGCACGCTTGGTGCCCCACCGTCAGCTTGGTCGCCTGCACTGTGCCTGTGACCTTGAAATTGCTGGCCAAGGCTAAGTGACAGTGGAGGCCAGCCCTGCTGCCAAAGACCACTAAGGTTGGAATGGGGCCCGGTGTTCAGGGACGGGGCTGAGGGTGCTTGCTGTGCTGTACTACTGTCTGTGACGGTGGTGGTGATTTTTACAATGTCACGGCGGACACCTCGAAACACACAGGATAAAGTCCTCATGGACCCGTGTCCCTGGCTTCACCACTCCCCATGATCTCCTGAGAGGACTGGTATGGGCGTCAGTTCCTTACATCTCTAACGGGAAAGGAATCGCGCTGCCTGGTTGTTTCTCGGTGTGCTCCTGGGAAAACCGGTGAAAGGATCAGAACTAGCTATCTCAGTGGGGCTGGAAGGCACACTGGCCATGTGGGCACTGCTCTCCAGGGAGTGGCAGGGGTGATGCGATGTCCAGACACACCCTGACACTATGGGCCTCCTGCCCCTCCCAGCATGGTAAGAAGTTTCCAGATTCCTGACAGTAACCCCTGCACAAACCCACTTGTCTCCCTGGCCTTGTGCTCCCCAGAGCTAGAAAACAGAGTGGGTAGAGTAAAGCAGACAGCTGGCCTGGGAAGGATCCAGAAAACATCTGTACCCAAACCACTGTTCAGAAGTGCACAGAGGAAAGGATGGACTCTTTTCCCTTCTGCCAAACAGCTACCTGACTGGCTGCTGTGGTGTGGGAGCTAAGGTTTAACAAGGACATCATGACCAAGGACAGCTACAGGGTAAGGAGTGGTCTGTACCCAGGGTGACATCCCTGCCAGTGTCACCAGTTGGGCACAGTTAACCGGGAACTAATCATAATCATCTCTGTCTGTCCAGTGTTGGGGCAGAGACAGGCACAACTTGAAACTACACTGGTGCCAGGATGGGGAGAGGTACAAAGCAGGTCCCCCCCTTGCTGTGTACTTCAAACATGAGGTGAAGGTTCGCCCTTCCCGTGGCTGCTAGAAGCTTTGCTCTATACCGTGAGTGCCTGGGCCCCACCCTGTCAGGGGCCCCAGCCTCTCCCAGTAGTATCAGAGTGAGAGCAGCTTGGGCTGGAATGGCAGGCCTCGGCTCAGAGACAAAATGCTGCTAGCCATGGAGGGGCTCGCTTCCTCGATGCACAAAGCCCACCACGTTCACTGGCTTCTACTTCAACCATCAGGCTTCCTATCAACTTGTGGACATGTGATGATTTCTTCCCGTTACTGCCTTCATTGGAAGCCAGGCTTTGTAGGAGGACCCAACTCTCTTGACCTGTTAGCTTTCGTTGTATCTCCATTCGTCCCAGTGGCTGCCTCCCCTTCTAATGTTTGTATATGGTTCCCAGCACCAGACCACCACGAGCCCTGGCTGAGGCAAAGCTCAGACTTCCCTGCCCAGGCCACCCTGCTGATGCTGCTGCCCCTCTGAGCAGCCGTTAGGACGGTGGCTGATTTTAGTCCCTCATAGGATGACATTGACAGTTGTCAGAGCCCATCTCTGAGCTCCATGGCTGGAAGGCTATGGAAAAACTGGAAAGGCATTGCAAAGCCAGAGCATGAGGGTGTATGGGAACCAGGGTCCTGGAAGAGTGGCCCGATATACTGAAAGGGGCTGGAAAGTGATGTGACAAAGAGTGACTTCCTGTGACAGCTGGAGGTGGAGGCCAGTGAAACAAGGGAGGTCCCCCCATGCTGTATGGGGCTCCTCAGTCTGGCAAGAGACCAACGGGGTGGATTCATGACGAATTCATGAAGAACTACATCCTTGAGCCACAGGCAGGCTCTTGGGGTATGCGGCAGGGGGAGCTGTGGCTCTTACCACACCTGCACCTCTACCAGGGTTGTAGTGCCTGCTAAGAAAACTGGACTGCATCTTCCAGACATACACTCGAGCAGTCCTCGACTTAGGATGTAGAATTGCGACGAACCACTCATGACCACATTTTCTTGGGTGGGGTGAGGTACATCTTATCATTAGTAAGGAGCTCTGGTGCTGTAGTGGATAAGGCATTTGTCTGCTAACCAGAAGATCAGCGGTTCAAGCCTACCACCTGCTTCATGGAAGGAAGATGGGGCAATCTACTTCTGAAAAGATTTATAGCCTCAGAAACCCAATGGGGGTCACTATGAGTTGGAATCGACTTGACAGCAGTGAGTTTTTGGTTATCATTAATGATACATACTACATGCAGTGTTGTAGCACGTAATTTGCAGAAATTAGTATTTCCTTATCAACCAAACACAAAGGTATTAAAGGCAATAATAATGACACGGAACAGACTCCAGATCAGAAAACGGAGCAGAGGTCAAGCAGTTTGCTCAAGGTCACACGGGCAGTAACTAGTAACTGGTGGGCTGAGATTTAGAAGTAAACAGCTGAGGCTCCCAGTGCCCCGACAGCCTGCTTTTCCTCAAGCTCACCCTCCCTGCTGCAGGGCTGTCACCGCATCTCGCCCTGGGCTTCTGTCACAACTCTAGGGAGCCCTGTTCCTTGTCTGTGATCTCAGGTGGCCTTTCTAGGCTACTGACCTGACCACCTGACTTGAGACCCTTCAGTGAAGCCCCATGGAACCCAAACGCTGTCCGGGGCTAGCACCCTACACGAGCCCCTGGCCCCTCTGCCTGAGTCGCATACCCAAGAATCTGGTGCTGGGCTGAGCTGCAGGGGCCAGAGTTCCCAGAAATGGAGGTGCTGGGGCCTGGGGCGGGGCTGCACTCACCGAAGCCGATGAGGCCCAGCGTCTCGCCGCGGATGCGGGCAGCTCCCGAGGCGACCTCCCGGATCTGCTCGACGCTCTGCACCCGCGTGCCCTCCCGCAGTGCCTGGTACAGCCACGTGTTCCGCCGGTACAGGTTGAGGATGTGGCAGATGGTGGAGTCGGCAGTCTCCTCCACTGCCGCAGAGGGGATGTTGCACACAGCGATCCCTGAAAGATGGACCAAGGTCAAGGCCCAGCGGTGAGAGCCCTGGGCCCGGCAGAACGCTGCCTCATCACTGGGACTCCCCAGGCCTGCTGTTCTACCTGTTGACTGGGGGTGGGAGGGATGGTCACAGAGTACCTGGTCACTGGGTTCCCAGCCCCAGGATCCTGCAGGAGTGACCCTTCAGGAGACCAGCAGTTTGTAGAGGGTGACAGTGCTGTCCTGATGGCAGAGGGTTAGAGGAGAGTGCCTCCTGTGAGCTGGGCGCTGCGCACTCGGGCCCCCCACAACAGCTGACGTTAAAAGCCAGGATGTTTTACTGAGTGCTGGGGTGACAAGGGCTGCGTGGCCAGTGGTAGACCCTTCTCCTGCCACCAGGGAGACCGAGGCTCGACTCCCAGCCAGTGCTCCTTGCTCAAAGCTCCACCCACCATCTGTCATGGGGCTCGTGTGTTGCTGGCTGTGATCCTCAAAAGGTTTCGAGCCAGCTTCCAGACTAGGGGGAAAGGCCTGGCCCTACTTCTAGAAATAAGCCAATGAACACACCATGGGTCACTATAGGCCAATATCATGAGCAGGGCTGCCACAAGGCAGAAGCCGGCTCAATGCAACCAGAGCATGAGAGCTGCCCCAGTGGCACCAGTACTGGAGCAGAACAGGCCGACTAGAGACCACGTCAAGACTTAGGGGTTGATCAGAAGCCCTGTTCTCATCAGAGGGTTTCATGCCACAGGGGATCAGCTGTTTCTGTGGGAAGGTCCAGCTGGGGACCACTGAGCGTGGGCGCTGTTACAGATGCTGCCACAAATCCATCCGTCTCTGCAGCTTCAGGGAACCTCCTGGCCCTGGCTGCACCCTGTGAGTCCTGCTGGCCTGGGAGCACGCTAACAAGCACAGACACTGAATGAGCACACTCGCAGGTCCACGTGCGACCAAGGCATCTGACAAGCTGCCTGTGTGGATGGGGTTCAAGAAGAGAAGCCAGGATCCTGGTTCAGCTTCACTCAGGACATGGGCAGGGTGTACATGGTCTAATGATGACAGGGACATCTCCATCTCCTGGGACAGTCCTGCACATTGAGTGCCATCCTGCCCCAATGGTAAGATATCATGACCTTCTTCATCCCCAAGGTAGAAATCTAACCTTTCTACACACTGCGTGGGTGTGCTCTGCCCAGAGTAACTCTTCAAATGCCATCCTGACCCCCAGTGTGGCTGAGGCCACCTCCTGTGGTCCCCAAGGCCCACTAACATCTCCTCCACAGACAGCCCTGGGGAGCTGGTCTACACACAGCTGTTTTCCCTAGTGGTCAATATGCTCAGCTACCAACCATAAGGTTGGAAGTTGGAGTCCACCAACTGGTTGCTCAGGAGAAAGCCTTGAAAAAAAAATCAGCTACTGAAACCCACAGAGCACCGTCTAACCCTGGCTCAGGTGGGGCAGCCGTGCATCAGAATCGACGGATAG